CCGGTCGTCAAACATGTATGAATTTGTTGAATTTGGTGAAAGCGTTGAAGAGGCTTGAGAAAGTGCCAAAATCTGGCGGAAAGTGGAAGCAAGAACTACGAAAAGGAAATCAATGGCAGAAGCCATTGTGCGTGGCCTCATAGATGTTGGAAGGGTTAGGGATGAGAAGGAAGAAGAAGGAAGAAGAAAGGAAGAGGGAAGAAGAGGAAAGACGAAGAAGGAAGAGGAAGGAGAAGAAGAAGAAGGGGAAGAGGAGAAGAAGAGGAAGAAGGGAAGAAGAGGAAAAGGGGAAGAAGAGGAAGAAGAGGAAGAAGGAGGAAGAAGGGGAAGAATAGGAAAAAGGGAAGAAGAGGAAAAGAGCAAGAAAGAAAATGGGGAAGATGAGGAAGAAGAGGAAGAAGGGGAAGAAGAGGTAAGAATGGGAAGAAGAGGAAAAAGGAAAGAAAGAGAACAGGAAGAAGAGGGAAGAAGGGAAGGAAGAGGAAGAAGAGGAAGATAGGGGAAGAAGAGGAAGAAGGGGAAGTACAGGAAGATGAGGAAGAAGGGGAAGAAGAAAAAGAGAAGAAGGGGAAGAAGAGGAAAGAAGGGGAAGAACGAGGAAGATAGGAAGGAAAGGAAGAAGGGGAAAAGGAAAAGAATGGAAGAAGTAAGAAAATGTGTTGTAGGGGACTGAAAGTGTTGTAAAGTGCTAAATACGTTGTAAAGTGCGAAATGTGTTGAAAGGTGTTTGAAATTTGTTGTAAAGTGCTAAAATGTTTTTAAGGTGTTTGAATTTGTTGTAAAGTCCGAAATGTGTTTGTAAAGTCTAAATGTGTGTAAGGTATTGAATTGTTTAAGGGGTTGAATGTGTTGTATAATCTAATTGTGTTGAATTTGTTGGAAAGTGCTAAATTTGTTTAAAGGTGCTGTAAGTGTTGTAAGTGTTGAATTGTTGTAAATGCTAAATGTGTTGTAAGGTGCCTGTAAGTGTTGTAAGATGCTGTAATCGTATGGTAATCTTGGGAATGAATAGTTAGTGTGGTAATGTGTTGTATGATGTGGGGAGTAATCTGTTGTACTTGTCCAATGTAAGTCTATGGGAAAAAGTGCTTGAACTTTGGTTTGTTAATATCTGAAAAAGTGCTAAAGGTGGAAGGTGAAAAAGTAATAGCAATAATGAGACGGTGAAGCCGTTCGAAACGATGTATAATTTGTTGAATTTGGTGAAAGCGTTGAAGAGTTGAAAAGTGCCAAAATCTGGCGAAGTGGAAGAAGAATAAAACAGTAGGAGGAGCATATAGTGGATGCAATAGTCTAATGCACCACTCAATAAACAGTAGGAGAGCATATAGTGGCTGCATATCCTAAATGCGGCCACTCAACTAGAAATGGTACAATGGCTGAAGCCATTGTGAGATGGCTGCATAGATTAGGAAAGGGTTAGGGATAAGAAGAAAGAAGATGAAGGGGAAGAAGAAGGAAGAAGAAAGAAAAGGGAAGAAGAAGAAAGAAAGAAGGAAGAGGAGGAGGAAGAAAAGAAAGGAAGAAGGGAAGAAGAAGAGGAAAAAGGGGAAGAAGAGGAAGAATAGGAAAGAAGGGGAAGAAGAGGAAGAAGAGGAAGAAGAGGAAGAAGAGAAAGAAAGAAAGAAGAGAAAGAAGAGAAAGAAGAGAACGGAGGAGAGGAAAAAGAGAGAAGAGAAAGAAGGGGAAAAGAGGAAGAAAGGAAGATTAGAGGAAGAGGGAAGAAAAGGGGAAGAAGGGGAAGAAAGGAAGAAGAGGAAGAAGAGGAGAGAAGGGGAAGAAGAGGAAGTAAGAAGGTGTATGTAAGGTGTTGAATTGTTGTAAGGTGTTTGAATTTTGTTGTAAAGTGCTAAATGTGTTTAAGTGCTGAATGTGTTGTAAAGTGCTGAATGTGTTGTAAAGTTGCTAAATGTGTTGTAAAAGTGCTGAATGTTTGTAAAGTGCTTAATGTGTTTTGTAAAGTGCTAAATGTGTTGTAAAGTGCGGAAATGTTTGTAATGTGTTGAATTGTTGTAAGTGCTAAATTTGTTGTAAGGTTAGGGCTGGGCGATTTTGCCATAAAAAAAAATCTCCGATTTTTAAAAAAGAAAAATTCAAGTTTACGATGCGATTATTTTCGATTTTTTTCCCCCAATGCAACTTAAAAATGACTGGAGACATCAGATAATATTGTCAAAAGTGCAAATATATTTGCTGTGTTGTCCTCAAGAGTTTAAAAATGCAAAGTACATGGAGGCTCTGGTTATTCAACAATTTCAACTGTTAACACCCAGGTTTAAGCAAAAGTGCAAACATCAACTTCAAGTAGCTTTAAATTTTCTGATTAACGAAATCCAGATAATATTACATATTTTGTAACAAAGAACAATACAATAAAAATTAAAATAAAACTCTTCCTCTTAGCCTCTCAGCATAATGTGAATAAAAAAAAAATTAAACATGCCTAGTGGCATGACATATAGCTACTAATAAACTACTTATCCAAGATAAACCATGTAAAACTTTTATCTTTAACAAACAAAACAAAAGATCTCTGAAATATTGTGCATGCTCATTCTAACCATTTTTTTGCAAGAAAGATGACCTGTCCCACAACCCACAGGTCGTGGTGCTGAGTAAAAACGTCATCTCCCCCACTCACCGCGTACTTTTCACGAGTTTAATGTACAGGTGAGGCACGCGCTACAACGGACGAAATACTTGCGACTGGACAACGTACTGTACCTCGCATCTTAATACAGTTAACAAGCCCCCCAGTTAAAAAACCCCCCCGGGGGGGTCGCGGGAAACCCCTGGGGGGGTCGCAGATGATTTCTACACAAACAAAAAAAAAAGATTTTTTTTTTTTTTTGAGCAAATATAAAGCCCTAAATCTTTATTTAGCATTTGATTTGATTCAAAAGCCTACTTGTTAAATTGTGTTTGGAGACTATACTAATATTTTAAATAACGTTATAACTTTTGTCCCAGTCATTGCCGCGTCAATCAAAACACACGTACCACAGCTCACATTATCATGCGCAGGACGACAAAGCGTGTCCTACTGTAGTTTGCTAAAACTAAAGGTGGGGGTTTTGGAGGCTACAAAATAAATAATACCTGCTTAAAAATGCAACGTGGTTCATATCCACAACAGAACACCCCGAGGGGGAGAAAAGTCACTTGTATCAGGGTCAGGCTGAAGTGGCGAAGAGAGGGAGATAGGGCAGAGAGGGAGAGAAGGGCATAGAGGGAGAGAGGCACGGAGGAAAGAGGCCCAGCGGTGAGAGGAGAGAGGGCAGCGGAGGGAGAGAGGGCAGCGGAGGGAGAGAGGGCAAGCGGAGGGAGAGAGGGCAGAGGAGGGAGAGAGGGCAGCGGAGGGAGAGAGGGCAGAGGAGGGCGAGAGGGGCAGCGGAGGGAGAGAGGGCAGAGGAGGGAGAGAGGGCAGCGGAGGGAGAGAGCGGCAGTCGGTAGGGGAGGGAGAGAGGGCACGGAAGGGAGAGAGGGCAGCGGGAGGGAGAGAGGGCAGCGGGAGGGAGAGAGGCATGCCGGGGGGAGGCGAGGGAGAGAGGGCAGAGTAGAGGAGAAGGGGCAGTAGGAGGAAGAAGTCACTTGTATCAGGGGTCATGGCTGATGGTGCGAAGAGAAGAGAGGGCCAAGGAGGAGAAAGGACAGCGGATAAACAAGGCGCGTTAAAGAGGCCCGGCTTTTCGGAGTCAAAGGTAAAGAGGTCCGCACATTAAAAGCGGGTGGCCGGTCTATGCTTGTTACTGACCGTAACTTTGGAAGAGAAGCCGCGGGGATGAACCCATAAAATAACAGCAGAAAGAGCGTCCGCCCGCTTTTAATGTGCGACCTCTTTACCGCTGACTCGGAAAGCCGCCACTTACCGCGGTAGGAGAACAGTGAGGCGAGCCGCAAGAAATGCGCTCCACTTCTGCTGAGAGAGGGTTAGCAGGGCATTTATGATAGGGGTCGCGGCGAAAGACTTTGGGAACTCCCTGCTCTACTACACGCTGCCTTCTTTTTTGACTGTGTTTACGCGGCGGAGGGGCTGGCTCATAACGCACTAATATAAAACGGTAACCCACAAGGACGAAACGCAAAAAACTCAGAAAAAAAAATTTTTGAAAAAGAACTCGAGTTTTGCAAAATACAAATCCTTTTAAGCTACAAAATCGATAAATCGATTAAATCTATTTTTGCCCAGCCCTATGTAATGGTTTTGACTTTGTTGTAAGTTGCTGAATGGTGTTGTAAGGTGTTGAATTGTATGTAAAGTGCCTAAATGTGTTGTAGAGGTGTGAATATGTTGTAAAGTGCTTAGAATGAGTTGTACGGTGTTGAATTTGTTGTAAGTGCTAAATGTGTTGTAAGGTGCTGTAAGTGTTGGTAAGATGTTGTAATGTATGTATCTGTGGGAAGAATTGTTAGTGTGGTAATGGTGATGTAAGGGGATTAATCTGGTGTACTGTCCCAATGTAAGTCTATGGGAAAAATCTTGAACTTTTTGTTATATCTGAAAAGTGCTAAAGGTGGAAGTGGAAAAGTAATACAAAATGAGACGCGTGAAGCCGGCTCGTAACGATGTAAAAATTGTTAATTAGGTAAAGCGTTGAAGAGTTGAAAAGTGGCCAGAAAAAGAAATCTGGCGGAAGTGGAAGAAGAACTAGAAATGGTACAAAATGGCTGAAGCCATTGTGAGTGGCCGTGGCATAGATGTTGGTAAGGGTAGGGATGAAGAAGGAAGAAGAAGGAGAATAAAAAAAGGGAATGAAATGAGGGAAAGACGAAGAAGGAAGAGGAGAAGGAAGAAGAAGATGGGGAAGAAGGAGAAGAAGAAGTAAGGAGGAAGAATGAAGAAGAGGAAAAGAGGAAGAAGAGGAAGAAGAGGAAAAGAGGAAGAAGGGGAATAAGAGGAAAAAGGGGAAGAAGAGGAAGAAGAAGCAGAAGAGGAAAAAGGGGAAGAAGAGGAAGAAGACGAAGAAGGGGTAGAAGAGAAGAAGGGGAAGAAAGGAAAAATGGGAAAGAAGAGAAGAAAACAGAAGAAGAGGAAGAAGGGGAAGAAGAGGATGAAGAGGAAGAAGGGGAAGAAGGAGAAGAAGTGGAAGTACAGGAAGATGAGGAAGAAGGGGAAGAAGAGGAAGAAGAGGAAGAAAGGGGAAGAAGAAGAAGAAGGGGAAGAACAGGAAGATGAGGAAGAAGAGGAAGAAGGGGAAGAAGGGAAAGAAGAGGAAGAATTAAAGAAGAATGTGTTGTAAGGGACTGAAAGTGTTGTAAAGTGCTAAATACGTTTAAAGTGGCTAAATGTGTTGAAAGGTGTTGATTTGTTGTAAAAGTGATAAATGTGTTTTAAGGTGTTGAATTTTGTTGTAAAGTGCTAAATGTGTTTGTAAAAGTGATAAATGTGGTTGTAAGGTATTGAATTTTGTTTTAAGGTGTTGAATGTGTTGTAAAATGCTAAATGTGTTTGAATTTGTGTATAAGTGCTAAATGTGGTGAAGTGCTGTAAGTGTTGTAAGGTGTGAATGTGTTTGTAAAGTGCTAAATGTGTTGTAAGGTGCGGTAAGTGTTGTAAGAGCTGTAATGTTTGTAACGGTGGTAATGAAATTGTTAGTGTGGTATATGTGGTTGTATGGGATAATCTGTTGTACTGGTCCAATGTAAGTCTATGCGGAAAAATGCTTGAACTTTTGTTAATAGCTGAAAAAGTGCTAAAGGTGGAAGTGTAAAAGTAATAGCAATAATGAGCACGGGTGAAGCCGTCGTAACGATGTAATAAATTGTTGAATTTGGTGAAAGCGTTGAAGAGTTGAAGATGTGCACAAAATGGCGTAAGTGGAAGAAAATAAACAGTAGGAGAGCATATAGTGCTTCATAGTCTATGCAGCCACACAAATAAACAGTAGGAGCATATAGTGCTCGCATAGTCCTATGCAGCCACTCCAACAGAAAGGTACATAATGCTAAGCCATTGTGAGTGGCTGCATAGATGATGGAAGGGTTAGGGATGAATAAGGAAAAAGGGAAGGGGAAGAAGAAGGAAAAGAAAGAAAAGGGAAGAAAGAGGAAAGAAGAAGGAAGAGGAGGAGGAAGAAGAAGAAAAGGGATGAAGGGATGAAGAAGTAGGAAAAAGGGGAAGAAGAGGAAGAAGAGGAAGAAAGGGAAGAAGAGGAAGAAGAGGAAGAAGAGGAAAGAAGAGAAAGAAGAGAAAAAGAATAAGAAGAGAAAGAAGAAAAAGGAGGAGAGAAAAAGAGAGAAGAGAAAGAAAGGGAAAGAAGAGGAAGAAAGGAAAAGAGAAGAAGGAAGATGGGAAGAAGGGAAGAAGAGAAGAAAGAGGAAGAAGAGGAAGAAGGGGAAGAAGAGGAAGTAAAGAAGGTTGTATGGTGTTGAATTTGTGTTGTAAAGGTGTTGAATTTGTTGTAAAGTGTCTAAATGTGTTGTAAAGTGCTGAATGTGTTGTATAAAGTTGCTGAATGTGTTGTAAAGTGCTAAATGTGTTGTAAAGGCTGATTGTGTTGTATAGTGTTAATGTTTTGTAAAGTGCTAAATGTGTTGTAAAGTGCTAAATGTTGTTGTAAGGTGTTGAATGTTGTTGTAAATCTAAATGTGTTGTAAGGTTAGGGCTGGGCGATTTGCCCTAAAAAAAAAATCTCCGATTTTTTAAAAGAAAAATTCAAGTTTCGATTTCGATTTCGATTTTTTTTCCCCAATGCACTTAAAAATGACTGAGACATCAGATATATTGTCAACAGTGCAAATTTATGCTGTGATTGTCCTCAAAGAGTTAAAATGCAAGTAAATAGGCTCTGTTATTCACAATTTCAAGCTTAACCCAGGTTTAATTAAAGCAAAAGTGCAACATCAACTTCACAGTAGCCTTAAATTTTCTGATTAAGAAATCAATAACTAACATATATTGTAAACATAAACATTACAAATAAAAAATAAAATAAACTCTTCTCTTAGCCTCTCAGCTAATGTAGAATATAAAAAAAAATTAAACATGCCTGTGGCAGACATAAAGCTACAACTAAACTACATATCAAAGGATAAACAAATGTAAACTTTTATCTTTACAACAAAACATTAGACCTCTGAAATATTGTGCATGCTTCATTCTAAGCATTTTTTTGCAAGAAAGCATGACCTGTCCACAACCACGAGGTCCGTGGTGGCTGAGTAAAACGATCATCTCCCCCCAGGCTCACCGCGATCTTTTCACGAGTTGTAATTTACGGTGAGGCAGCGCTACATCCGACGAAATACTTTGCGACTGGTGGACAACGTACTGTACCTCGCATCTAATACTTTTAACAAGCCCCCCCTGTTAAAACCCCCCCTGGGGTCGCGGGAACCCTGGGGGGGTCGCATGATGATTTCCTACACAAACAAAATAAAAAAAATTTTTTTTTTTTTGAGCAAATATAAAGCCTTAAATATTTATTGTAGGCATTTGATTTGATTCAAAAGGCCTCACATGTTAAAATTGTGTTTTGGAGACTATAAATATTTTAATAACGTTAGTATTTTGTCCCAGTCATTGCAATCGTCAATCAAATCATCACGTAACACAGCTCACATACAAGCTCAGCGACAAAGCGTGTCCAACTGTTGTTTGCTAAAACTAAAGGTGTTAGGAGGCTACAAAAAAATAATACCTGCTTTAAAATGAAAACGTGGTAATATACCACAACCGAAAACCCCGGAGGGGGAGAAAAGTCACGTTGTATCAAGGGGTCAGGCTGAAGGTGCGAAGAGAGGGAGAGAGGGCAGAGGAGGGAGAGAGGGCAAGGAGGGAGAGAGGCAACGGAGGGAAGAGAGCCATGCGGGAAGGGGAGGGAGAGAGGGCAGCGGAGGGAGAGAGGGCAGCGGTCGGAGGAGAGAGGGCAGAGGCGGAGGGAGAGCGGGGCATAGAGGAGAGAGGGCAGCGGAGGGGAGGGAGAGAGTGCAGAGGAGGGAGAGAGGCAAGCGGGAGGGAGAGATGGGCAAAGGAGGGATAGAGGGCAGCGTGGGGGAGAGAGAGGCAGCGGGGAGGGAGAGAGGGCAGCGGAGGAGAGAGGGCACGGGAGCGGGGGCGGAGGGCGAGAGGGCAGCGGAGGGAGAGAGGGCAGCGGGGAGGAGAAGGAGAGAGAGGGCAGAGAGGGAAGAGGGCCAGAGGAGGGAAGAGAAAAGTCACTTGTATCAGGGGTCAGCAGAATGTGCGAAGAGAGGGAGAGAGGCAAAGGAGGAGAAAGGACAGCGGTAGAAACAAGCGCGTTAAAGAGGCCGGCTTTTCGGATCAAAGGTAAAGAGGGTCCGCACAATAAAAAGCGGGTGGCCGTCTAAGCCTTTACTGACAGTAAACTTTGGAAAGAGAACCGCGGGGATGAACCGCATAAAGTAAACAGTCAGAAAGCGGGCCGCCCGCTTTTAATGTGCGGACCTCTTTACCGCTGAACCTCCGGAAAGCCGGCCCACATTAACCGCTGTAGGAGAACAGTTAGGGCGATGCCCGCAAGAAATGCTCTCCACATCGGCTGAGGAGGTTTCAGGGCATTATATATGGGGGTCGCGGGCTAAGACTTTGGGAACCCCATGCTCTACTACACGCTGCCATTCTTGTTTGACTGGGTTTACGGTCGGCGGAGGGGGCTGGCTCATAACGCCTATCTAACGGTAACCCACAAGGAGGACGAAACGCAAAAAACTCAAAAAAAAATTTGGTGAAAAAAAAACTCGAGTTTGCAAAATAAAAATCCTTTTAAGCAAAACAAAATCGATAAATCGATTAAATCGATTTTTTTTGCCACAGCCCATGTAAGGAGTTGAATTTGTTGTAAGGTGCTGAATGTGTTTGTAAGGTGTTGAATTTGTTGTAAAGTGCTAAATGTGTTGAAAGGTGTTGACATATGTTTGTAAAGTGCTAAAATTGTAGTACGGTGGTTGATTTGTTGTAAAAGTGCTAAATGTGTTGGTAAGGTGCTGTAAGTGTTGTAAGATGTTGAAATGTATTAGTATCTGTGGTGATGAATTGTCTAAGTGTGGTAATGTGTTGTATTGGGAGTAATCTGTTTACTGGTCCAAAAGTAAGTCTATGGGAAAAAGTGCTGAAACTTTTGTTAATATCTGAAAAAGTGCCTAAAGGTGGACAGTGTGAAAAGTAATAGCAATAATAGGACGGTGAAGCCAGTCGTTAACGATGTATAATTTGTTGAATTTGGTGAAAGCGTTGAAGATTAAAAGTAGCCAAAATCTGGCGGAAGTGGAAAAGAACTAGAAATGGTACAATGGGCTGAAGCCATTGTGAGTGGCTGCATAGATGTTGGAAGGGTTAGGATGAAGAAGGAAAAGAAGGAAGAAGAAAGAAAAGGGAAGAAAGAGGAAAGACGAAGAAGGAAGAGGAGAGGAAGAAGAAGAAGGGGAAGAAGGAGAAGAAGAGGAAGAAGGGGAAAGAAGAGAATAGGGGTAGAAGAGGAAGAAGAGGAGAAGAGGAAAAGGTGAAGAAGAGAAAAAAGGGGATGAAGAGGGAAGAAGAGCAAGAAGAGGAAAAAGGGGAAGAAGGAGAAGTAGAGGAAGAAGGGGAAGAGAGGAAGAAGGGGAAGAAGAGGAAAAAAGGGAAAGAAGAGGAAGATCAGGAAGAAGAGGAAGAAGGGAAGAAGAGGAAAAGAGAAGAAAGGGGAAGAAGAGGAAGAAGGGGAAGTACAGGAAATTATGAAGAAGGGGAAGAAGAGGAAAAGAAGGAAGAAGGAAGAAGAGGAATGAAGGGGAAGAACAGGAAGATGAGGAAGAAGAAGTAAGAAGGAATAAGGGAAAGAAGAGGAGTATGTAAGAAGAATGTGTTGTAAGGGACTAAAGTGTTGTAAAGTGCTAAATACGTGTAAAGTGGCTATATGTGTTGAAAGGTGGTGAATTTGTTGTAAAGTGCTAAATTTGTTTTATGGTGTGAATTTGTTGTAAAGTGCTAAAGGTGTTGGAAATGCTAAATGTGTTGTAAGGTATTGAATTGTTTAAAGGTGTTGAATGTGTTGTAAAATGCCTAAATGTGTTGAATTTGTTGTAAAGTGCTAAATGTGTTTGTAAGGTGCTGTAAGTGTTGTAAGGTGTTGAAATGTGTTGTAAAGTGCTAAATGTGTTGTAAGGTGCTGTAAGTGTTGTAAAGATGCTGTAATGTATTGTATCTGTGGTAATGAATTGCTTAGTGTGGTAAAGTGTTTATGGGGAGTAAATCTGTTGTACTGTCCCAATGTAAGTCCTAATGGGAAAAAGTGCTTGAACTTTTGTTCATATCTTGAAAAAGTGCTAAAGGTGGAAGTGTGAAAAGTAATAGCAATAATGAGACGGTGAAGCCGTTCGTAAACGATGTAACATTTGTTGAATTTGGAAAGCGTTGAAGAGTTGAAAAGTTTGCCAAAATCTTGCGGAGTGGAAGAAGAATAAACAGTAGGAGAGCATAAAGTGGCTGCTTAGTCTATGCCATCCACTCAATAAACAGTAGGAGAGCATATAGTGGCTGCATGTATCTATGCAGCCACTCAACTAGAAATGGTACAATAGGCTGAAGAGCCATTGTGATGGCAGCATAGATGTTTGGAAGGGTTAGGGATGAAGAAGGAGAGGAAGTGGAAGAAGAAGGAAGAAGAAAGAAAAGGGACAGAAGAGAAAGAAGAAGGAAGAGGAGGAGGAAGAAGAAGAAAGGAAGAAGGGAAGAAGCAGAGGAAAAAGGGGAAGAAGAGGAAGAAGAAGGATGAAGGAAGAAAGGAAGAAGAGGAAGAAAGAAGATGAGAAAGAAGAGAAAGAAGAGAAAAGAATAGAAAGAAAAGAACGGAGGAGGAGGAAAAGAGAGAAGAGAAAGAAGGGAAGAAGAGGAAGAAGAGTAAAAGAGGAAGAAGGGGAAGAAGGGGAAGAAGGGGAAGAAGAGGAAGAAGAGGAAGAAGAAGAAAAGGGGAAGAAGAGGAAGTAAGAAGGTGTTGTAAGGTGTTGAATTTGTTGTAAAGGTGTTGAATTGTTGTATAGATGCTAAATGTGTTTGTAAATTGCTGAATGTGTTGTAAAGTGCTGAATGTGTTGTAAAGTGCTAAATGTGTTGTTAAAGAGCTGAATGGTTTTAAAGTGCCTTAATGGTGTTGTAAAGTGCTAAATGTGTTGTAAAGTGCTTTAATGTGTTGTTAAGGTGTTTGAATGTGTTGTAAAGTGCTAAATGTTGTTGTAAGGTTTAGGAGCTAGGGCGAGATTTTGCCTAAAAAAAAAATCTCTCCGATTTTTAAAAGAAAAAAAATTCAAGTTTTCGTTTCGATTTTCGATTTTTTTTCCCAATGCACTTAAAATGACTGGAGACATCAGATATATTGTCAAAAGTGCAAATTTATTGCTGTATTGGGTCCTCAAAGTTAAAATGCAAGTAAATGAGGCTCTGTTATTCAAGCAATTTCAAGCTTAAACATAAACCCCAGGTTTAAGCTAATGACAACATCACTTCACAGTACTTAAATTTTCTGATTAAGAAATCAGATAACTACAATATTTTGTCAACATATAAACATACAATAAAAAAATAAAATAAACTCTTCTCTTAGCCTCTCAGACATAATGTGAATATAAAAAAAATTAAACCCCATGCCTGGGGCAGACATATAGTCTACTAACTAACTACTTATCAAAGGCAGAAACAAATGTAAAACTTTTTATCTTAAACACAAAACTTAGAACTCTGAAATATTGGCATGGCACATTCTAAGCAATTTTTTGCAAGAAGATGAGCCTGTCCCCACAACCACAGCCGTGGTGGCAGATAAAACGTCATCTCCCAGCTCACCGCGGATCTTTTCACGAGATTGTATTGTGCAGGTGAGGCAGCGCTACATCGCGAATACTTGCGACTGGGACAACGTACGTACCACGCATCTAATACTTTTAACATGCCCCCCTCTGTTAAAACCCACCCCGGGGGGTCCGCGGGAACCCCTGGGGGTCGCATGATGATTTCTACACAAACAAAAAAAAAAAGAATTTTTTTTTTTTGAGCAAATATAAAGCCCTTAAATATTATTTAGCATTTATTTGATTCAAAGGACTACTTGTTAATTGTGTTTGGAGACTATAATATATTTTAATAACGTTAGTAATTTTGTCCCAGTCATTGCAAGCGTCAATCAAAATCATTCAAGTAACCCAGCTCACATCATGCGCAGCGACAAGCGTGGTCCTACAGTTGTTGCTAAAACAACTAAAGTGTTATGGAGGCCTACAAATAAATAATACCTGCATTAAAATGAAACGTGGTTAAATCCACAACAGAAAACCCCGGAGGGGGAGAAAAGTCACTTGGTAATTACAGGGGTCAGGCTGATGGTGCGAAGAGAGGGAGAGAGGGCAGAGAGAGGGAGAGAGGCAGAGGAGGGAGAGAGGGCAGCGGAGGAAGAAGGCCAGCGTGGGCAGGGATAGTGGCAGCGGGAGGGAGAGAGGGCAGCGGTAGGGAGAGAGGCAGCGGAGGGAGAGAGGCAGAGGAGAGGGAGAGGACGAGGCAGCGGGAGGGAGAGAGGGCAGAGGGGGAAGAGAGAGGGCAGCGGAGGGAGAGGGGCAGAGGAGGGAGAGAGGGCAGCGGAAGGGAGAGAGGGCAGAGCGGAGGGAGAGAGGGGCGCGGAGGGAGAGAGGGCAGCGGAGGAGAGAGTGCAGCGGAGGGAGAGAGGGCAGCGGGAGGGAGAGAGGGCAGAGGAGGGAGAGAGGTCAGAGGAGGGAGAGAAAAGTCACTTGTATCAGGGGTCCAGGCTGATGGTGCGAAGAGAGGGAGAGATGGGCAAAGGAGGAGAAAGGACAGCGGTAGAACAGCGCGTTAAAGAGGCCCGGCTTTTCGGTGTCAAAGGTAAAAGAGGTCCGCACATTAAAAGCGGGTGGCCGGTCTTATGGCCTTTACGACAGTAACTTTGGAAAGAGAAGCCGCGGGATGAACCGCCATAAAGTAACAGCAGAAAGCGGCCGCCCGCTTTTAATGTGCGGACCTCTTTACCGCTGACGTCCGGAAAGCCTGCCCACTAACCGCGGTAGGAGAACGTTGAGGGCGAGCCGCAAGAAATCGCTCCAACTTCCACTGCTGAGGAGGGTTACAGGGGCAATTAAGATGGGGTCGCGGGCTAAGACTTTGGACTCCCTGCTCTACTACACTCTGGCGTGCCATTCTGTTCTTTGACCTGTGTTTACGCGGCGAGGGGGATGGCTCATAACGCTCTACGGTAACCCACAAGGACGAAACGCAAAAAACTCAGAAAAAGACAAAAATTTGGTGAACAAAAAAACTCGAGTTTGCAAAAATAAAATCCTTTTAAAGCAACAAAATCGATAAATCGATTAAATCGATTTTTTTGCCAGCCCTATGTAAGGTGTATGAATTTGTTGAAAGGTGCGAATGTGTTGTAAGGTGTTGAATTTGTTGTAAGTGCTACATGTGTTGTAAGGATGTTTGAATAGTTGTAAAGTGCTAAAAGTGTTTGTACGGTGTAGAATTTGGTTGTAAAGTCTAAAATGTGTTGTAAGGTGTGTAAGTGTTGTAAGATTGTTGTAATTATTGTATCGGTGGTGATGAATTGTTAGTCGGTGTAATGTGTTGGTATGGGGAGTAATCTGTTGTACAGGTCCAATTAAGTCTGATGGGAAAAAGTGCTTGAACTTTTGTTTAAATCTGAAAAAGTGCTAAAGGTGAAGTTAAAAGAATAGCAATAATGAACGGTGACGCCGGTCGTAACGATGTATAAATTGTTGAATTTGGTGAAAGCGTGAAGAGTTGAAAAGGGCCAAAATCTGGCGGAAGTGGAAGATGAAACTAGAAATGGTATCAATGGCTGAATCCAATGTGAGTGGCTGCATAGATGTTGGAAGGGTTAGGGATGAAGAAGGCCGAAAAGGAAGAAGAAAGAAAAGAAGAAGAGGAAAGCGAAGAAAGGAAGAGGAGGAGGAAGAAGAAAGAAGGGAAGAAGTGAGGAAGAAGAGGAAAGGGGAAAAGGGAAAAGGAGGAAGAAAGAGGAGAAGAGGAGGAAGGGGAAGAAGGGAAGAAGAGAGAAAAAAGGGGGAAGAAGAGGAAGAAGCAGCAAGAAGAGGAAAAAGGGGAAGAAAGGAAGAAGAGGAAGAAGGGGAAGAGGAGGAAGAAGGGAAGAAGAGGAAAAAGGGGAATGAAGAGTGAAAGAACAAGGAAGAAGAGGAAGAAGGGGAAGAAGAGGAAGAAGAGGAGAAGAGGGAAGAAGAGGAAAAGGGGAAGTACAGGAAGATGAGGAAGAAGGGGAAGAAGAGGAAGAAGAGGAAGAAGGGAAGAAGAGGAAGAAGGGGAAGAACAGGAAATGAGGAAGAAGAAGAAGAAGGGGAAGAAGGGAAAGAAAAGGAAAGAAGTAAGAAGATATGTGTTGTAAGGGACTGAAAGTGTTGTAAAGTGCCTAAATACGAATTGTTAAAAGTGCTAAATGTGTTGAAAGGTGTTTTGATTTGTTTGTTAAGTGCTAAATGTGTTTTAAGGTTTTGGAATTTGTTGTAAAGAAGTGCTAAATGTGTTGTATATGCTAAATGTGTGTAAGGTATTGAATTTGTTTTTAAAAAGGTGTTTGAATGTGTTTTTGTAAAATGCTAAATGTGATGAATTTGTTGTTAAAGTGCTAGAATGTGTTGTGAAGGTGCTGAAGTGTTGTAAGTGTTGATTGTTGTAAAGTGCTAAATGTGTTGTAAGTGTGCTGTTAAGTGTTGTAAAGATGCTGTAATGTATTGTATCTGTGGTAATGAATTGTTGTAGTGTAATGTGTTGTATGGGGGAGTAATCTGTTGTACTGGTCCAATGTAAGTCTATGGGAAAAAGTGCTTGAACTTTTGTTAATATCTAAAAAGTCTAAAGGTGGAAGTGTGAAAAGTAATAGGCAATAATGAGACGGTGAAGCCGTTCGTACGATGTATAATTGTTGAATTTGGTGAAAGCGTTGAAGAGTTGAAAAGAATGCCAAAATCTGCGGAAGTGGAAGAAGAAAAAACAGTAGGAGAGCCATATAGTGGCCTGCAAGATCTATGCAGGCCACTCAATAACAGTAAGGAGAGCATATAGTGGCTGCATCGTCTATGCCGCCACTCAACTAGAAATTGGTACAATAGGCTGAAGCCAATGTGGAAGTGGCTGCATAGATGTTGGAAGGGTTAGGTATGAAGAAGGAAGAGGAGGGAAGAAGAAGGAAGAAGAAGAAAAGGGAAGAAGAGGAAAGAAGAAGGAAGAGGAGGAGAAGAAGAAGAAAGGGAAGAAGGGAAATAAGAAGAGGAAAAATGGGAAGAAGAGGAAGAAGAGAAGTAGGGGTAAGAATAGGAAAAGAGGAAGAAGAGGAAGAAGAAGAAAGAAGAGAAAGAAGTGAAAGCAAGAGAAAGAAGAGAACGGAGAGGAGGAAAAGAGAGAAAGAAAGAGGGGAAGAAGAGGAAAAGAGGAAGAGAGAAGAAGGGGAAGAAGGGACAGAAGGGGAAGAAGGAGGAAGAAGAGGAAGAAGAGGAAGAAGGAAGAAGAGGAAGTAAGAAGGTGTTGTAAGGTGTTGAATTTGTTGTAAGGTGTTGGAATTTGTTTAAAGTTGCTAAATGTGATGTTAAATGCTGAATGTGTTGTAAGTGCTGAATGTGTTGTAAAGGTGCTAATGTGTTGTAAAAGTCTGAATTGTTGTAAAGTGCCTTAATGTGTTGTAAAGTGCTAAATGTTGTTGTAAAGTGCTAAATGTGTTGTAAGGGGTTGAATGTGTTGTAAAGTGCTAAATGTGTTGTAAGGTTAGGGCTGGGCGATTTTGACTAAAAAAAAAATCTCCTCCGAGTTTTTAAAAGAAAAATTCAAGTTTCATTCACGATTTTTCGATTTTTTTTCCCCCAATGCACTTAAAAATGACTGGAGACATCAGATATATTTGTCAAAAGTGCAAATTTATTGCTGTGATTGTCCTCAAGAGTTAAAAATAATGCAAGTAAATGAGGCTCTGTTATTCAACAATTTCAAGCTTTAAAACCCAGGTTTAAGCAAAAGTGCAACATCAAATTTCACATAGCTTAAATTTTCTGATTAAGAAATCAGAATAACTACAACTACAATTTTGTAACATAAAACATTACAATAAAAAATATAATAAACTCTTCTCTTAGCCTCTCAGCATAATGTAATAAAAAAAATAATTAAACAGCCCTGTGGCAGAACATATAGCTACTAACTAACAACTTATCAAACAGGGATAAACAAATGTAAAACTATATCTTTAACAACACAACATTAGATCTCGGAAATCATTGTGCATAGCTCATATCTAAGCATTTTTTGCAAGAAAGATGACCTGTCCACTACCACAGGTCCGTGGTTGCTGAGTAAAACGTCATCTCTACCCCAGCTCACCGCGATCTTTTCACGAGTTTGTATTGACAGTGAGTCAGCGCTAACATCGGCGAAATACTTGCGACTGGGGATCAACGTACTGTACCTCGCATCTATACTTTTAACATGCCCCACCTGTTAAAACGCTAAAAACCCCCGGGGGGTCGCGGGAACCCCTGTGGGGGGTCGCATGATGATTTCTATCTAACACAAACAAAAAAAAAAGATTTTTTTTTTTTTTTGAGCAATTATAAAGCCCGTAAATATTTTATTTAGCATTTGATTATGATTTTCATAAGGACTACTTTGTTAAATTGTGTTTGGAGACTATAATATATTTAAGACACGTTAGTATTTTTAGTCCCAAGTCATTGCAGCGTCAAACAAAATCATCACGTAAACACAGCTCACATCATGCGCAGACTGTCAAAAGCGTGTCCCTACTGTTGTTTTGCTAAAACTAAAGGTGTTTTGGAGTCTACAATAAATAATACCATGCTTTAAAATGAAACGTGGTTAATATCCACAACAGAAAACCCCGAGGGGGAGAAAAGTCACTTGTATCAGGGTCAAGGCTGAGTGGTGCGAAGAGAGGGATAGAGGGCAAGGAGAGGGAAGAGATGGCAGAGGAGGGAGAGAGGGCAGCGGAAGGAAGGAGAGGGCCAGCGGAGGAGAGAGGGCAGCGGAGGGAGAGAGGGAACGGAGGGAGAGAGGCAGCGGAGGGAGAGAGGGCAAGAGGCGGGAGGGAGAGAGGGCAAGCGGAGGGAGAGAGGGCAGAGGAGGAGAGAGGGCAAGCGGGGAGTGAGAGAGGTCAGAGGAGGGAGAGAGGGCAGCGGGAGGGAGAGAGGGCAGCGGGGAGGAGAGAGGGCCACGGCAGGGAGAGAGGGCAGCGGGAGGGGAGAGAGGGCAGCGGAGGAGAGAGGGCAGCGGCGGTGGAGAGAGGGCAAGGATGGAGAGAGGTGCAGAGGGAGGGAGAGAAAAGTCACTTGTACCAGGGTCAGGCTGATGGAGCGAAGAGAGGGAGAGAGGGCAAAGGAGGGAGAAAGGACAGCCGGTAGAACAGCGCGTTAAAGAGGCCCGGCTTTTCGGAGTCAAGGTAAAGAGGTCCGCACATTAAAAGCGGTGGCGGTCTATGCCTTTACTGACAGTAACTTATTGGAAAGAGAAGCCGCGGGATGAACCGCATAAAGTAACAGCATAAAGCGGCCGCCCGCTTTAAATGTGCGGACCTCTTTTACCGCAGACTCAGAAAGCCGGCCCATTTCTTTACTACCCGCGGTAGAGAGACAGTGAGGGCGAGCTCAGAGAAATCGCTCCACTTCTGCTGAGAGGGTTAGCAGGGCATTTATGATGGGGTCGCGGGCAAAAGACTTTGGAACCCCTGCCTACTACACGTCTGCCATCTTGTTTTTTGGACTGTGTTTACGCGGCGGAAGGGGGGTCTGGCTCATAACGCTCTAAGGTAACCACAAGACGAACGGCAAAAAACTCCGAAAAAAAATTTGGTGAAGAAAAAACTCGAGGTTTGCAAAATAAAATCCTTTTAAAGCTACAAAATCGAAAATCGATTAAAATCAGATTTTTTGCCCAGTCCCTATGTAAGGTGTTGAATTTGTTGTAAGGTGCTGAATGTGTTGTAAGGTGTTGAATTGTGTTGTAAAGTCTAATGTGTTTGTAAGGTGTTTGAATATGTTGTACAGTGCTAATGTGTTGTACGTGTTGAATTTGTTGTAAAGTGCTAAATGTGGTTGTAAGCGCTGGTAAGTGTGTAAGATGTTGTAATGTAATTGTATCTGAGGAGATAATTGTTTAGTGTGGTAATGTGTTGTATGGGGATAAATCTGTTTGTATGGTCCAAATGAAATGTCTAAGGGAAAAAGTCTTGTAACTTTTGTTAATATCATGAAAAAAGTGCCTAAAGGTGGAAGTGTGAAAATTAATAGCAATAATGAGACGGTGATAGCCTGGTCGTAACGATGTATAATTGTTGAATTTGTGAAAGTCGTTGAATAGTTGAAAGTGCCAAAATCTGGCGGAAAGTGGAAGAAGAACTAGAAATGGTACAATAGGCTGAAGCCATTGTGAGTGGTCTGCATAATGTTGGAAAGGTTTAGGGATGATGAAGGAAGAAGAAGGAAGAAAAAGAAAAGGGAAGAAGAGAAAGACGAAGAAGGAAGATGAGGAAGGAGGAAGAAGACAGTGGGAAGAAGGAGAAGAAGAGAAGAAGGGGAAGAAGAGGAAAAGGGGAAGAAGAGGAAGAAGAAGGAAGAAGAGGAAGAAGGGGTAAGAAGAGGAATAAGGGGAAAAGAGGAAGAAGAGCAAGAAGAGGAAAAAGAGGGAAGAAGAGGAAGAAAGAAGGAAGAAGGGAAGAAGAGGAAGAAGGGGAAAAGAGGAAAAAGGGAAAGAAGAGGAAGAATCAGAAGAAGAGAAGAAGGGGAAGAAGAGGCAGAAGAGGAAGAAGGGGAAGAAGAGAAAGAAGGGGGAAGTACAGGAAGATAAGGAAGAAGGGAAGAAGGAGGAAAAGAGGAAGAAGGAAGAAGAGGAAGAAGGGGAAAACAGGAAGATGAGGAAGAAAGAGGAAGAAGGGGAAGAAGGGAAAGAAGAGGAAGAATAAGAAGAATGTGTTGTAAGGGACTGAAAGTGTTGAAAGTGCTAAATACGTTGTAAAGTGCTATATGTGTGAAAGGTGTTTGAATTGGTTGTAAAAGTGATAAATGTGTTTTTAAGGTGTTGAAGTGTTGTAAATGTGCTAAATGTGGTTGTAAAGTGCCTAAATGTGTTTTGTATGGTATTGAATTTGTGTTTTAAAAGGGTCG